AGAATAAATCATGAATATATTTATTTAAAAAATTAAAATATAAATGTTTATGCTTTCATTATTGTTCTTATTAAGGATAGTATACTTAAATGCTGAAAACCAATTTGAAATTATATACACAGCTTTCAGTGAAGATAACTTCAATATAGAAGGTATATAAATTAATTATAATTTAGGATGGCATTTTGAAAACAACCATAGCCCAACTTTGTTCAGTAAATGTGGTAATGAGACTTTGTTTGGAGGTTTTTTAACATTCTCTTAAAATACATTAATAACTTACAATTCAAGTCTTCCTCCTCACTATTAAATATATGCTTCATTATTATATTGGAAGTATATATATGACATTTTTGTATTTCTGAATAGATAGTTGGAATAAAGAAGAAAAAGAATGCGTTTTAATATACTTTGATGATAAATTAAAAAAAGAATGTTTTTCAGTGGAATAAGATTATCAATTATGCGGTACTTTTAGTGAAGCTGATTTTGACAAAAAAGTTATTTTTGATATCTAAATGATTCATTCCTCTAAAAATATTTTCATAATAATAACATCAAATTTAAATTAGGGGGCAGAAAATGTATAATAATGAAATATTTAGGAATCATNTCAAAATTCAGAAAAAGTAAATATTTTAATTTATTTTAGTATAATATTAATTGTCTTTTAATGATATGAAATTATAATATAATATTATTTTTTATAACAGTTTAATTTCTTTCAATAAAGGCATTATTCAAAGAGTTGGAAATTAATTTAATACCATATTAATAGAAGTCTCGTTAAAATGAATAATCATATAACTTAAATACTATAAGAAGCTTAATTGATAAAAAAGGGTAAAAATACTTTGAGAAAAATTTGAAAAATCTATGAATTCAGTCTACAACTCAATAATTATAAAGTTGACTGAAAAGCCAACTAATGTAATGAGCGTTGAATTTAATTAATTAAAAATTGCATATCTAATTTTTAATTAATGTTGGATTATAAAAAATAGATTATGTATCCTTGGCCTATAATAGAATATAATGAGAAAGCTCTACAAAATGGAACAGACCTTCAAGTAATTCTCAAAGTTGATGATTTTATCACACATCAAAAGAATAAATATACCTTTAGGCATCAGACTGAATCCTCCTTAAAATAAATCTATCAGTTACAAAATAATTATTAAACAATTTCTTTTAGCAAATTAGAATAAAAAAACAAATTTTTTATTCAATGATTTCTTACTACAGTAGACATAACAAGCATCAAGATTTATAAAAAAAGGGTTTATTCATAAGATTCTAAATAATAAATCATTTTCACCTATAGTGATTTGAAAAATACTCAAATTATAGCAGATATTAATAGCCTATTGAGAATTTACAACTATACAAATTAGAATAAATCATGAATATATTTTTATATAAATAATAATAGATATTTTTATGTTTTTCTTTTTGTTCTTATTAAGGATAGTATTGTTAAATGCAGAAAATAATTTTGAAATTATATACACAGCTTTTAGTGAAGATAATTTCGATAAAGAAGGTAAATAAATTAATTATACTTTAGGATGGCATCTTCAAAACAGCTATAGCACAACTTTATTCAGAAAATGTGGTAATGAGACTGTGTTTGGAGGTTTTTCAGCTTTCTCTAATACATTAATTACTTACAATTCAAGTCTTCCTCCTCACTATTAAATATATGCTTCATTTTTATTTTGGAAGTATATATATAAAATTTTTGTATTTTAGAATAGATAGTTGGAATAAAGAAGAAAAAGAATGCGTTTTAATATACTTTGATGATAAATTAAAAAAAGAATGTTTTTCAGTGGAATAAGATTATCAATTATGCGGTACTTTTAGTGAAGCTGATTTTGACAAAAAAGTTATTTTTGATATCTAAATGATTCATTCCTCTAAAAATATTTTCATAATAATAACATCAAATTTAAATTAGGGGGCAGAAAATGTATAATAATGAAATATTTAGGAATCATGGGGGATAAACAACTTTAAAATTGAAATATTGAAATGCCCAAAAGGATGTGTGTATTGTTAAGATGATATAATGCTATGCGACTTTTGGATTCATGTTAAATCATTTTGGTAAACTCCAAGTGAGTTTGATGGATGGAAAATAGATGATACAAAAACACTCTCTCCAAGTGTATGCGCTGGTCTTAATATTGCTGGAGGATACCCTAACTTAAAAGTAAATTAAACAATTGAAAATACTATCTTTAATTTATCTTCCCATTTTAATGTTTAAGTAGAATTCAAACTTTGGTTGTTTGGCATTTGGAAGGATGATTAATTTATTCTTAAGCTTGATGATTATGAATTATTAAACGAACATATAAATTAATCAGCCCATTTGATAAACTGTGGAGGAATTCAATAAAATGTTACTTTAATAAATCTTAGAGCTTAAATGAATCATTCTTAATCATCAATGAAGATTACTTTTAAAACTCAATCAAACTCAACTTTAATTAAATATTGGGGAATTAATGCATTTGATTTGTATATCGGAAAATGTTCGATTAATTGTGAATAATGCTATGGACCTGGGTATAAAGAATGTACTGCTTGTATTTAAGATTGGGTAATTTTTAAAGGAGAATGTATTTACTATAATAAAATTCCCCCCTTAACTTGCAACCATATTAGTATAGTTTAATAACTATAAAATATTTCAAATAATATTCATTAAATATAATTAAAAAGTGATTAAATAGGTTAAGAAACCCTAAAATTAGGTGAAAATGAAATCGAATTTGATTTAAACATGTCGATTTTCAACTTAGAAATTCAAGCCTAATGCCAAAAAAATATCTATATATACAACTCCATTCAAATCTATATTAGATGCTATAATTAGCAGTAATATATTTTTACTTTTAGTTGCCAGGAGAATCTACCAACAATTATTCTTAAAACAAATTTACATTAAAAGTTTGAATAAACTAAATAATTCTTACTTAATTTAAATAAAACAAGTGTTGAATTATATTAATTAGTAATAATGGAATATTAACAAACCCAACTTTTAATTCTAAGCCTAAATTTAATATGGATTTGAACTGAATTTTGTTTTTAATTCCATAATTACAAGCAATTTGATATTAAATCTTTTAATTCTATTTAATATAATGTGCTTCTTCAGTATCATTAACTACATATTGTAATTAATGTATAATGAAATACTAGCTTAAAATTTTTGGTTATAACACAAAAAAATTAATAAAGAGTATATAGTATATGTGTAATTCAAATTTTTAATCAATAATTTTAATGAAAAAATTTTTTTGATTAAATTTAAATTAATAGTATATCTTCTTTTCTATTAAACTAATTATGGTCTCTCAAATTCTTGATGTTTATAATCAAATCAATATATTTACTTTTTATAAATTTAAGTAAAAATTAATTTATAAACAATCAACGTGCTACTTAACTCTTTTATATCCTAATTTTTAGCGATTAAGCAATCAATATATATATATATATAATTAAAAAAGAATGACGAGATAATTTTTATTCATAAATTCATTGACCAGCCTAAATTTAATAATAATAATGTTTAAAGTCATTAGTCTTTAAGGTTTTAATTTTATTTGCTTGAAATTATAAATATTCTACTATTTATAATTTAAGTATTTTAAATCAATCTATTCTTTAATGTAATCTTAAAATCACTAATAATTTCAATGATTTAGTATTAGCCTGCTATGATTTGCTATACTGATAAATGCAATAGAAACAAATTAATTGAAATAATAATTTATTTATTTATTTATTTTTCCTTATAATTCATTCTTTATAGCATAAATAAGTCCAAATATTTACAAATACTTCCTGTACAAAATTTTATATCAGGATTGCTTAGGACCTATATAATTAATTTAGTATTAAACTCATCTATAAAATACTATAACAAGATATCTTTTGGATAAAGTACAATATTAATAATTTAAATACTCTTAAGCCCTTATTTTCAAAAAACCGATCAGTTGTTAAACAGTGTAAAGTATTACCTAAATTTTTTTTGACAAAAATGAACTAAACCTATCTAAAAAATTGTTATTGATTGTTAAGATATTGAGCTTTTTATCTTCTGTAAAATTTGATTCATTAATTAACTATCTTAAAATACAATAATATTTACACAACGAGACGTATAATTCTTATTTCCACTGTACTGAAAATAAGTCTCTACTTTGAGTCAGTTCTGCCAATAACTATAATCTAGAATGACTTAGATTTAAAGATCCAATTTCCACAGTATTTAATACTTAGTAATACCTTAGGAAATAGAAGCATAAGCTATGAACAATACTGATACTAACAAATATATAAATTTTGATATATATTAGGTATAAATTTATTTATTATACTATTTAACATTTATCACAATATGCACCTGGTCAAATCAATTAAAGTATAGAAATGAGAAATCCTTTTTGTTACATAAACTATTCATTTCATCATTAAAAGGATATTGGTAGTCAAATCAAGTTCTCTCTAATCATTAATAATTGTTCTAATTAACATCTATGAATAATTTCTTTAATAACATATTTTAAAGATTAATGGAGATTTTGGATGGTTAAGAATTTTATTGGATTTCTTTTGAATTAAAATACAGCAAAATATTGCATACACTAAATAAGAACAAGATTTACACGAATTTTTACAAAGCCAAGTAAGGGGCAATAAATGTTTAATTATATCAAATAAATTAGTTATCAGTTAAGAGTTATGGAATTAATTAAGAGCTCAATCCTCTGAAAAAAGAGCATTTATTATAAAAATTCATTTATTATTAATAAGAGAAATGATTAATGAACGATATAAAAGATATTTGGATGTTTTAAATGCAATAATCTTTAGATATTGAACAAAATGAATATTAAAAATAGTATCTGTATGAAAACGAATAACAAAAAGTTAAAGCAATTAGTAGGGTAAAAAATATTCAAATACCAATTAAAATTTGAAAATCAAATTTAAACTTAGTTGGAAAATTAATGTATATTTGTAATAAACTAAAATGCCTTATAAGGGTCTAATATTTTCTAAAAAAAGTATCACCTACTTGAATGCCTTTAGATGCTGCATTTGTAATTTAAATAAAATGTTATAAGTTTCAATTATTTAAGTTCCCATATAATCAAATTTTACCTGTTTAATGGTGAATATTTCTATAATTTATAAAAACTGCAATTAATTGAATAATAATATGATTTCTTAAACATAAAATTAAGAAGAATATTTAGATTCTATGAATTGGAATATTGGCACTAAATTAATTGAAGTTAACAAGCGGGATTCAAACAAATAGAGACTTGTTAAGGCAAAAATTCAAGTTACATTCACCTAAAATAATTTAATCATTTACTCATCTGATGGAGTAATTTAAAGATAGTAAAAATATAATTTTTTCATTTTATAAGGGAATAAGTTAAGGAAATTTGCAAGAATCTAATAGTTTTGACTAATATGGAATAAATCTAATATTTTCAATGGCAAGGTAAATATGGACAGGAGAAAAGAAAATAGGGTAGATGGACAGTTACTTGGGATGGTTAGGCCCTTATAGAAGTTGGTGGATACTACAAGGATGGATTAAAAGAAGGTTTATGGACTGAGCAAAATAAGAATTACTGGAGGTAAATTAATTAATTAATCAATAAATAGTAAAGCTTAAGTATACGAAAGAGGAGAATATTTTCAACAGTAAAAATGTGGGAAATGGAAATATATCTATAATAACAACGTTATGTAGCATTATTAAAAAATTGAATTAGTGGTTGCGGATCATATAATGAATAATTTTAGAAAAATGGTAAATGGATTGAGTTGTCGGATAGTTTTTCTGACGATTCAAGAGTTATTTATAATGGCGAATATAAGAATGGGAAAAAAATTGGTAGATGGGATATTTGTTATACAAAATATAGCAGCTATCCATTTTT